CCAGAGAACATGTTCATTGATTTTTAGACAAGGGGAAGGATGAGAGAGAGAAACATGGATCATTTGCCTCCCACAGTTTCTATCCTGGGCCCCCTACTGGGGCCTGGGATCAAACCTACAACCTAGGTATGTACCCTGAGAATCTAACCCACGGCCTTTCAGTGTATGGGATGACACTCCAACCAACTGAGCCACACCAGCCAGGGCTATTTTACTTTTTGATGCAATTATAAATGGGATTGTTTTCTTAGTTTACCTTTGTGATAGTTCATTATTGGTGTATAAAAAATGCAACAAGTTTCTGAATATTTATTTTGTATCCTGCTACTTTGCTAAATGTGTTTATCAGTTCTAAGAGTTTTTTGGTGGAATCTATAGGGTTCTCTATATATAGTATCTTGTCATCTGCAAATAATGACAGCTTTACTTCTTTTGTTCCAATCTGGGTGCCTTTTATTTTCCTTGTCTCATTGTTGTGGCTAGGACTTCCAGAACTATGTTGAATTGGTGAAAGTGGACATCTTGGTCTTGTTCCTGATCTTAAGGAAATGCTTTTAGCTTTTCCCCATGGAGTATGGTGTTAGTTAGCTGTGGGTTTGTTGCATATGGCATTTATTATGTTGAGGTATGTTCTCTCTACTCTCACTTTGCTGAGAGTTTTGTCACAAATGAATCTTGGGTACTGTCACATGCTTTTCCTGCATCTATTGATGCGATCACACCATTTTTATCCTCCTTTTTAAAAAAAAAATTCTACCCTTATTGATTTTAGAGAGAGAAATAGAAACATTGATGAGTGGGAACATCTATTGGCCACTTCTTGCCTGCCCCCCACTGGGGATCAGGCCCACAACCTGGGCATGTGTCCTGACCAGGAATCGAACCGGCCACCCCTTGGTGCATGGGCCGACACTCAACCACTGAGCCACACCAGCCAGACTCCTTCATTGTTTTTATGTGGTGTATCACATTAATTGGTTTGGCAATATCATACCAACCTTCTTTCCCAGGAATAAATCCCACTTGATCACAGTGTACAATCTTTTTAATGTATTATGGAATTCAGTTTGCTAATATTTTGTTGAGGATTTTTCCATCTATGCTCATCAGAGAAATTGGCCTATAATTTTCTTTTTTTGTAATGTCTTTGTCTGGCTTTGGAATCAGGGTAATGCTGGCCTTGTAAAACGAACTTGGAAGCCTTCTCTTTTCTTGAACTTTTTGGAATGGTTTAAGAATAAGTGTTTAGCCCAGTCGGTGTGGCTCAGTGGACTGAGAGACGTCCCATGGACTGAGAGATCTGGGTTCAATTCCTAGTCAGGGTACATGCCCGGGTTGTAGGCTCGATCCTCAGTAGGAGGCATGCAAGAAGCAGCCGATCCATGTTTCTCTCTCACATAGGCGTTTCTATCTCTCTCTCCCTTCCTCTCTCTCTAAATAAATCAATTAAAACATATTTTAAAATAAATAAAAGATCAACATTAAAAGAAAGAAGTGTTCATTTTTTCTTTGAATGTTTGGTAAAATTTACCCATGAAGACATCTGGCCCCGGACTTTGTATGTTTAGATTTTTTTATTATTACTGATTCAATTTCATTGGAAGTAATCAGTTTGTTCAGATTTTCTGTTTCTTCTTGATTCTGTCCTGGAAGATTGTATGTTTCTATGAATTTATCCATTGCTTCCAGATTGTCCAATATGTTGGCTATTATTGTTCATACTATTTTCTTATCATTCTTTGCATTTCTGTGGTGTCAGCTGTCATTTTTCCTCTTTCAGTTTTTATTTTATTTGGGTCCTCTCTTTTTTTCCTTAATGAGTCTCATTAAAGATTTGTCAATAAAGGTTTATCAATATTGTTTAATTTTTCAAAGAACCAGCTCTTGGTTTCATTGATCTTTTGGTTGTTTTAGATTATTTTTTATTTATTTCCACTCTGATCTTTAATATGTCCTTCCTTCTACTCACTTTGGACTTTTCTTTTTCCTTAATCCTCACTCAAGGATATTTTTCTATATATCTTCAGATAGAGTGGGAAGGAGAGAGAGGGGAAGGGAGAGAGAGAGAAACATCAACATGAGAGGGACACATCAACTGGTTGCCTCCCGCATGACCCTGACCAGGGCCCGGGATGAACTGCAACCAAGGTACTTGCCCTTGGCCAGAATTGAACCCATGACTCATTGGTCTGCAGGCCAATGCTCTACCGCTGAGCCAAACCAGCCAGGGCTCACTTTGGACATATTTGTTCTTTTCCAGGTTTCTTTGGGCAAAGTGATCCATAGTTGGTAGTTGCCTTTGCTGGCCCTAGAGGTGCGTAGGAGAGGCCATGCTGTGATCTCAGGCTCACTACTACCAACACTGGGCCTGGGGCAGCTCAGGAAAAGGCACAGGACACCCTTTGGCCTTTGGCCACCCACTGACTGCTGGTAAGGCTCAGCCTCTGAAAGAGGCTCAGGCAGTACAAGCATTGGGTGAGGCAGAGTCTCAGGGAGTCAACAGGGTACAGTAAGTGGTGTTTACCAGGTTAATGCAGATTCAGCTATGGCACCAGTGATACTGGGGTCACTCAGCAAAAAGCACATGGTACACCGAGGCCAGGTGCCACCCGCCTGGGGCCTGTGGACCTTTGAAACTTCTTAAAGACTGAGACATGGGCCAAGGCCAGCTGCCTGTTGCCAAAAGCACTGCTGGCAGTGCATGAGTTGGGTGGGGCAGGGTCTCAGGAAGTCATCAGGGTGGAGTTCACCAAGCTAATGCAGATTCAGATTTGGCCACAGGAAAGATGGTGCCTACCTGCCTGCTGTGTGGTAGAAGGGCTCAGCACAAGGACAATGGTGGCTGTCCCTCCAGCTCTCACCCTGAAGCCACAAAACTGTTTCTCCCTATATGTCTCCCTATATGTCCCCTCACTCCCAAGCTGCTGTCCCTTGGCGGGAGCCCAGGGTGAGTGCTTGTGCACAGACCCTTTGAGAAGATGCCTGGGTTTCTGGCAGCCTTGCATTTCAGCCAGAGAGACAGAACCCCACTGATTTTCACAGCCAGATGTTGTGAGGGATCCTCTTTCTGGCACTGGTGCTCCAGGCTGGGGAGCCTAGTGTGGAGCTCAGACCCCCTCACTCCTCAGGTGGGACCTCTGCGGCTGAGATGTCCCTCCTGATTCTCAACGCTTCACATGGGTGGGGTCAGCACATTTTGTGTCTCCCTCCTACCAATCTCAACATGGCTTCTTGTTTATATCCTTCATTATAGGACTTCTGTTCAGCTATTCTTCAGATGGTCTTCCAGGTTCACTGTTCTATAATTTCGCTGTAATTTTGATGTGGTCATGGGAGGAGGTGAGCACAGTGTTTTTCTATTCCACCATCTAGATCAGAAACACCCCTATGTTTGATATCCTATTTCTTAGGTGAAGTGATATGTTTGTGGGATTCACTAAGTCACACTCCATATCCAATATTTTTGTTACATATAATCTTCTGTACATGGTAAACATGTCCCATCTCTATGATATCATGATTGGGATCATCCATATTCAACACCTAAGGATACCACCATCTTGGATTTTCCATTTCCTTTTGAAGGTCATTGATGCCCTCACCACCTTGGCTAGTGGGATTAAGGGAAATATGCCTTAGCTCACCAAGGCCTCAGCTCAGCCCTCTAAAACTATCTACTAGCACAAGTAGAAGTAGAGGACAGGCGAAGCTCACTGATAAAACTTGCTCACCAAACCTTCCCTCTGCAACCTAACACCTACTTGCCACAGGCTGTTTGTCCTCCACTCACATCTACTGCACATACCATGACCTTCTTTGGCTTCTCAGCCGCCCTTCCAAAACCTGTCCATAGTAATCAAAGTCTTCATGCCAGGCCCATTCTGAGGCCTACTGCAGGCACCTGTGCTTCAGAGCCCACTTGCCCAAGCTATAACAAAGGTGGGCTCTGGGGCCTCAGGTAGTTAAGCCTATTTCTTCACCTGTAAAGTAGAATTACAGAAATTACAATATCTATTTAATAAAGTTGTAGTCAGAAAGAATGAGGTAATGCACAAAAAATATTGAACCCATAGTAAAAGTACCCTTAGTGTCTGCTTCCCCACTTCATAAGACAGTGGAGAGAATTAAACTGAGATCACACATATAAATGGCCTAGTGCAGAGACTCTCCCTTTTCTTTTTCTCATGACAGCGCGCGCACACACACACACACACACACACACACACACACACACACCAATTTGAAGGCCTCATATTGCCAAACGGATGTCTGCTGCCCCCTTATGGCCAGATTGAGAAATTACACTATCGTCCTCAGCTTGATACCTGAAGTTTTGGTGGAAAGGAACCACCCTGGCACTGTTCCTTCCTCTTTCCTCCTTATTTTCCAGCTTACACAAAGAAACAACTACTGGGCAGAGGAAAGCAGCTCAGGTCTCCAAATTTCTCAAAATTCCCTCAACAGGAAAAGAGATTGCAGGAGAGGCAAAAGGGATTATACTCTGGGCGAATAATTTAACCTCCAAGGACCAGCTTCTTCCTTGCAAAATAGGGATAAAGGCTATCTCACGGAGGTCTTGTGAGGATTTAAATGAGATTCTAATATTAGCACAGTAACTGACACATACCAAGTATACATTCAGTAAGTGATCGTGTTTTTAAATCACCCTGATGAGACTCAGATCTAATTCATGGGGTGCTTTATTTCAAAGAGGAGGAAACTGGGCCCAGAAAAGGGGAGAGATTTGGCCAGGATTTCTAAGTTAGTGCCTGAACCTAGGCTAGCACTCAAGTCCCCAGAGGAAGTGGGAGGAGAAAATGAGCATTTGGGTTGTTCCTGGTTGCTGAGCATGACACTGTCACTTTGACATGTTTGGCCATCCTCAACACCTTCCACGACTTCATACCCTCACGAAGCATAGGACAAAGCAAAAAGGCAACTCTGTGACTTTATTTGGTTATATGAAAGGGTCTGGGTGTTTGTCCAGTCAAACTAAATTGTCAGTCCCTAAAGGCAAGCAGGAGGCCTGAGAGGATGCCCCAAGCAGGATCCCAACTGGAGGGCTCTGCACCAGCAATCTGGGCCTTCTCTAAAACGTTGAGGACCTCAGTCACTCTCATGGTCCCGATATAATGAAAATCTGTGAAAAGCTTGTGATGTCCACGAGTACAGCCCATGAGGAGGAAGGTGGTATTGAGAAACCCTGTAAGGAAGAGAGAGAGGAATCAGGGACACTTTCAAGACACAAGTGCTCTGCCCCTCCTTCCAGACACCCTTCACAAACCAGGACACCTGCTCTCCCACCAAACACTTGGACACCAGGTACCTTTCTCCTTGGAATTCAACCCCAGTCCCCTCTCCAGATCCCACCAGCCTCTCTCAGAAATGGGAAGGTACCAAACAGCACCTGGCATAGAGTAGGCATTTGATAAAGTTTCTCTCCTCTCACCTGCCTGAAACCTTAAGGTGGAACTGTAACACGCAGGGGCACTCTGGGGGCAAGAACTTGTGGTGACAAAATGTGGGAGGCAATCCTTAGAATGCTCGCCCACACAGATTGGGCAACTAAGGGAAGAAAATATCGTAGATGCAGGAGTTCTCTTGAGTTTCATGAAAGGATTCAAGTTGGTGAGATTATTGCAGAGATATTTCCGGCAGACACGGCTATAGGAGGCAATGGACAATCCAGGCGGTGAAACGAGGTAGGAGACTTGCTGGGGGTAAGATGGGGTTGGGCTGCAGCCTTTAAAACCCACAACTCCCCTTTTGGTCCCTGAGGAGCAGAGATTAGAGAGCTCTGATCAGTGTTTTGGCCACACCCAGAGTCCACCCTCCCACCTTCCACTCTGTTCTTCCTGCTTGCTCGCCCCATCATCAACTTTGCCCCCCTCCCACTGTCCACTCACTGCAGCTGCACAGGGCTCAGATATCAGGGTCTCCATCTGTTTCTCCTCGCTCCTCTCCCCATAGGAGGCCCTCTGCTCCCCTCTCCTTGTGTCCCATCCTTGGCTCCCAGATTGCCCCACTCCTCCTGGGATATGCCCACCTCTTATCCAGCCCACACCACAACCCTCTCCCGCCAGTGTCTTGACATTATTCCCAAAGATGTGTGGTAAATATCTGGAACTTGAGTCCAGAGTCCTTGGGTGCTAGGGATAAAGCTAGAGATCAGAAGAACCACCAAAAAGTATCAGAATTGTTTTCCTTCACCTGTCTCGATGAGCACCAGCGTCTCCTCGCAGCCCTCATTTAGCTTGCACACCATACTCCTCATCAGCAACCATCTCCAGTTTTGGAAAGAAACAGCTCTGAAGAGTGAGGATGTTGCTTCGTAGCACAAAAGAGCCCCAGCCCCTAAACAGAGAATGATCTTACCAGTTATCTGTCCCTCACAATACCTACACCATCCCTGAACTGCCAACCAAGAGCTCAGCCTCCACAGATCCTGTCCCCTGAGGAACACAGATATCCAGTTCCCTCCTTCCGGCTGTCCCAAAGCATCCAGCATCACAGCACATACACGGCAGAGTGGAGATGGCCCCTAGGAGGCAGAGTAGCTGCACAGGTCTCAAATGCTGAGGTCCCATGGTCCTGTGTCAAGGTCCTGGATGCTAGAGGTCAGTCTGGAACCAATTTCAGTCTAGGTCTCAAGTTTGCTTCTTTTCTTGTCAGTCCCTGGATTCTGTCTACCTTCTTCCAGGTCACTGTTTCTAGGACAGAAAATTGATTATCATTTTCTTTGATATTGGCTTCCTGAGACCTTCAGGGACACAGGTCTTCTCATCTCCATGGTCTCCCCTCCAACCTAACCCGGACCCACCACATTAGCTTCTCAGATCATGACTCTCACTCTCCTGCTTAGGTTCTTCCCATTAGACAGGGTGCTGAGCAGAGGATACTGGCTTATTCAAAGATCACTATTCTCCAGAGACAGTGAGATTGGAACAATAAATATATGTGCAGAAGTTAACTGACATATTACTAAATAATACTTGGTACACAGAGGAAATTTCAAAGTATTTAGAACTGAATAATACTGAATATACTACATGTCACACATACACAAGTGCATGTAAAATCTGGTGAAAACTGAATTAAGGTCTGTAGTCTAGTAAAGAGTACTGTACCAATGTCAATTTCCTGCTTATAAACTACAGTTATATAAGATGTCCCTATGGGAAAGAGGAAGGAAGTGTTTAAGAGACTCTACAACTTTTGCAATTTCCTGTGAACTAAAAATAATTTCAAAATCAAAAATTCTATTTTTAAAACTACTCATCAAAATTTGGGACAAATCTAAAGCAATATTTAAAAGTAAATTTATACTTTAAATACATTTATCAAGAAACAAAAAGCATTAAAAATATGTTCATGGCCCTGGCTGGGTGGTTTCGTTGGTTGGAGCATTATCCCATACACCAAAAGGTTAAGGGTTCAATTCCTGGTCAGGGTACCTACCTAGGTTGCAGATTCAATCCCTGGTCAGGACACATATGAGGCAACCAGTCGATGTTTCTATCTCACATCCATGTTTCTCTCTCTAAAAAAAATAAAAATCAATAAAAACATACCCTCAGGTGAGGACTTTTATTATTATTATTATTATTATTATTATTATTATATTTTATCCTCACCTGAGGACATTTTTTCCATTTTTTGTTCAGATAGAGTGGGAGGAGAGAGAGGAAGAAAGAGAGAGAGAAATATCAATGTGAAAGGGACACATCAAGTGGCTGCCACCCGCACAACCCAACCAGGGTCGGGGACAAATTGCATCCAAGGCACGCGCCCTTAGCAGGAACCAAACCGGGGTCTCTCTGGACCGCAGGCCGATGCTCTAACCGCTGAGCCAAACCAGCCAGGGCGATGATTTTTTTTTAAGTTCATGAATTAACTCAAGAAGTTATATAAAAAGCAACAAAGCATCCCCACTCCAACTCCCACCAATTAAAAAAACAAAAACAGCCCTGGCCGGTTTGGCTCAGCGGTTAGAGCATCAGCCTGTGGTCCGGAGAGACCCGGGTTCGGTTCCCGCTAAGGGCATGTACCTAGGTTGCAGTTTGTCCCCGGCCCTGGTTGGTCGTGCAGGTGGCAGCACTCGATGTGTCCCTTTCACGTCGATGTTTCTCTCTCTCTCTCTTCCTCTCCCTCCCACTCTACCTGAACAAAAAATGGAAAAATGTTCTCGGGTGAGGATAAAAAAAAAGGAAAAGTGTCCTCGGGTGAGGATTAAAAAAAAAAAAAAAAAAACGGATAGAAATAAAGATGGCAGAAATCAATAAAATAGAAAATGGCAAATCATTACAAAAACTAACATTCTTTGACAAATTAAGATAATTCACCAGCAAATCTAATTAAAAGGAAAAAAGAAGGTGCAAATAAAATGCAGAGAAAACGACCCCGCGTCTCAGCCTTCCCTTCCCATGGTTCTGTCCCTCACTGTCTAGCCTGCCCCTATCTCCTCACTGTTTTAAAAACTATTCTTAAATTCCAAAATGGTGGTGGAGTGAATGCAAACTACACAGACCATCTCCCAGGACCAAACTGGAATCACAACTAAAATAAAGACAAATCATCAGGGAAAACTAACAGAAAAGCAGCTGGAGAGGACCCATATAACCACGGTCAGAAAGAGGACACCAAATCAAGCCTGGCAGGAACTTCAGAGAGAGAGGGCTGGGAGCCCACGGACAGCAGCTGTTTTAGCTGTGAGCAGCTACCTCGGGGCTAAAATCCCAAGCCGGCTCCACAGAGGGCTGGGACAGAGCACTAAATTAGCTACAACCACTCATCTTAGGCTCTGGCAGAGGGAGGGTAGACTGGTCTGGAAGTGTGTGGAGAGACTCGGGAGCTGGGAGAGCTGGAAGAGCTGGGACAGCAGTGGGAGTTTTTTTGCTGAATCACTTCCTCACAGGACAGTAGCCATATTACTCAAAGAGCTTCTTCCTGAAGCCCTGAGAAAAAGAAACAGTCCCTCCCTCAGGAATTTAACACTACCCAGCCAGGCCAGAGAAATGAAAATTGAGGCCCATTAACAGGTAGCAAGCATCTGAACCACCTTCTGGAAATCCTCTTACCCTGAACACATGAGGGATTGTTTCATTCAGTTGAGGGCTACAACCCAAGGCTCATCAAGTAACTGAGACTAATAGCCTCCACGTAAAAAGCTAGAGGATAACTAAACCTTTCCTGGGCTTGAAAATCTACCCAGGAAAGTAAGATTTGACAGTGGTGTTTAATGTGGGTCCTGCCACACTCATCCAAACCCAGTAGAGGGAGCCATAACCAGTGGAACACCAACACCCATAGGGAAAATTTGGCAGGCTCCAAAACCCACTGAGACAGCCAAAATGATGAAACAAAGAAACAAATTCCAAATGAAAGAACAATTGCACAGAAGATGAAATAAATGAAAGGAAATTGAGAAAAATATCATGAGGAAGCTCAACAGCATGAGTAAAGATACGGAAGCATTGAAAACCAACCAATTGGAAGTGAAGAATGACATAGCAGAAATAAAGAACACGTTGGAAGGAATAACCAGCAGAGTAGAGGAGACCAAGGATTGGATCAGTGAATTAGAAGACAGGGTAGGAAAAAAATCACCCAATCAGAGAATCAAAAAGAAAAAACAACTAAAAAACAGGAAGACAGCCTAAGAGAACTCTGGGACAATATGAAATGTAACAACATCTGCATCATAGGAGTTCCAGAAAAAGAACAAAATGAGCAAGGGTTAGAGAATATATTTGAAGAAATAGTGACAGAAAACTTCCCTAACTTGGTGAAGGAAAAGGGCATACAAGTACAAGAAGCACAGAGAGCCCCAAACAGGCCCACACCAAGACACATAATAATTAAAATGCCAAAATTTAAGACAAAGAGAGACTCCTAAAGGCAGCAAGAGATAAGCAACAGGCTACCTACAAAGGAACCCCCATAAGGCTATCAGTTGACTTCTCAACAGAGACACTACAGGCCAGAAGGAAATGGCATGAAGTAATCAAAGTAATGAAAAACAAAGATCTCAATCCAAGACTACTCTATCCAGCAAGGCTATCGTTCAAAATAGAGGGTCAAATAAAGAGCTTCCCAGACAAAAAAAAAAAAAAAAAAAAGCTGAGGGAATATATTAGCACCAAACCAGCACTGCAAGAAATATTCAAAGGCCTGCTGTAATTAGAAGAAATAGGAAAAAAAATATAACCACAATAAACAAAAATAGCAATAAAAAAGTACATATCAATATTCACTTTAAATGTAAATGGATTAAAGACTCCAATCAAAAGACAGAGTAGTGATTGGATAAGAAAGTATGACTCATATATATGTTGTTTATAAGAGACCCACATCACAACAAAAGATTCACATAGTTGAAAGTGAAAGGATGGAAAAAAATTTTCCAAGCAAACAGAAAGGAAAAAAGAGCTGGGTTAGCAATGCTCATATCTGATAAAATAGACTTCAAAATGAAGGCCATAACTAGAGACAAAGAAAGCCACTACATAATATCGAAAGGATCTATCCAAAAGAAAGATATAACCTTGATAAACATATATGCACCCAAAATAGGAGCACCAAAATATATTTTAAAACTTCTGGAGGACTTCAAGAAAATGGAAAAAATGTCCTCAGGTGAGGATAAAAAAAAATAATAAAATAAAAATAAAACTTCTGGAGGACTTCAAAGAAGAAATTGACAGCAATACAATCATAGCAGGGGCCTTCAACACCCATTGACATCACTGGATAGATCCTCTAGACAAAAAATTAACAAGGAAACAGAGACTCTAAATGATGCACAAGATCAAATGGATTTAATAGATATCTACAGAGAATTATACCCCAAAACTGCAGAATTCACATTCTTCTCAAGTGCACATGGGACATTCTCAAAGACAGACCACATGTTAGAACACAAACTAAGTTTCTACAAGTTCAAGAAGATTGAAATCATATCAAGCATCTTCTCAGATCACAATGGCATGAAACTAGAAATCAATTACAATAAAAACAAGCAAAAACATTTAAACTCATGGAAGCTAAATAGGATGTTATTAAACAATGAATGGGTTACCAAGGAGATTAAGGAAGATATTAAAAACTTCCTGGAAAACAATGAAAATGAACACACAACAACATAAAATCTATGGGACGCAGTGGAGAGCATTCCTGAGAGGGAATTTCTTAGTACCACAGGCCTACCCCAGGAAAAAAGAAAAATGTCTAATTGATTATCTAACCTCACAACTTAAAGAACTAGAAAGAAAACAAAAAGAAAAACCCAGAGCGAGTAAGAAAAAAGCAATAGTAAAGATCAGAGCAAAAATAAACAACATAGAGATTTTAAAAAACATTCAAAAGATCAATGAAACAAAGAGCTGGTTCTTTGAAAAGATAAAAAAGATTGATGGACTCTTAGCTAGACTCACCAAGAAACAAAGAGAGAGAACCCAAATAAACAAAATCAAAAATGAAAAAGAACTGACACCACAGAAATACAAAGAATCATTAACAAATACTATGAACAATTATATACCAACAAATTGGACAATCTAGGTGAAGTGGACAAATTTCTAGAAACACA